ACAGCACAGGTGCACTACAAAGAAGAGATTTAGCAGAAAGAAATGCCTGCTGGCACTCATTAGTCCAGTCAAAACAAACTTTAGGACTACACAACTTCGTTAAAGGAGCAACCACACTCGAGAAATTTTTGCAAAAACACCGGTAGTACCCAACCATCCCCAGGAATCTACGTAGTTCTCTCCTCGTAGTAGGCACTGGGTAACTGAGGACAGCAGTCACTTTTCCGTCCAATGGCCGTACCTTACCGTTTCCCACCTGCTTCCCTTTCTAAAATCAGTGCAGAAACGTAAAGACCCATCAGCCTTCGGTACCAGAACACACGGTGAGCTCCATGGACTATTACTCGGGACAGCGAAACCATTCTGCAATAAATACTTAACCTCACTTTTCATGGCTTCTCTCAGACTCATTGGGCAACGATAAGCGTGTTGCTTGATCGGTAATGCGCTACCGACCTCAATGTCATGCTGAATGACATTAGTACCCGGAGGAACGTCATTGAACAAACACGGGAAACTGTCTATCAACTTCATTACGTCCTCTCGCTGTTCAGGCGATAGATAGGATAGTTGCTCAGGAAGCAAAGATAAAATCTTAGAGTTTTCAAAACATCCTCCTCCTAAAGCTTCCATGGATACATTCAACCCATCGTCCGCAGTATCGGCAGGCAAAGCATAAGCCAACAATGAAACGCGCTCAGTATTTCCTTTAGTCACCGATTCACTAACCAAATTCTCAGGGTTCTCTTTTGGTTCGACACAAAAATATGGTTTCAACATGTTTATGTGACATAAACGAGTTTTCCGCCTCCGTTCTGGCGTGTGTAAGATATAATCAGTTTCATTCCACTTACTTTTTATCACGTAAGGACCAGAGAAACGCGCAGAGAGAGAAGATCCAGGAATAGGAAGCAACACCAAAACTTTTTCGCCTGGCAAAAAATTACGCATAACTGCTTTCCTATCAAAATGTTTTTTCATTTTCGTTTGTGACAGAGAAAGTGCTTCCTTCGCCACAGCACAAGCATTGTGCAAACGTTCGCGAGTACGTGATACAAAATCAAGGACGTTGGTCTTCACAGACGAACTGTTACCGAGAAATTCTTCCTTTAACATTTTCAAAGGACCACGGACATTATGTCCAAACACAAGCTCTGACGGGCTAAACCCAAGCGAGTCCTGCCGCGCCTCACGTACCGCGAATAACACCAAAGGAACTCCATCGTCCCACTCATTCCCAGTCTCTGTACAGTACTTTCTCAGTGCAGATTTTAATGTTTGGTGCCACCTCTCTAAAGCACCTTGCGACTCGGGATGATAGGCGCTTGATACTACGTGAGAAACGCCAAGAGCCTTTAACGAGGCACGGAAGATACGAGACACAAAATTCGAACCCTGATCAGTTTGGACAGTTTTCGGCAAACCGAATGTTGTAAAGAATTTAGTTAAGGCTTTAGTTACTGTCTTAGCCGTTATGTTGCGTAACGGAATGGCTTCTGGAAACCGGGTAGCCGCGCACATGATTGTCAACAAATATTGACAACCAGACTTAGCCCGAGGAAGTGGACCCACACAGTCAACTAGAACGCGCTCGAATGGTTCTCCAACGGCAGGAATAGGACACAGAGGAGCAGGTGGTACAATCTGATTAGGTTTTCCACTAACCTGACAAATGTAACACGTTTTACAGTGTGTCACAACATCAGACTTTAACCCTGGCCAGAAAAAATGCTGGAGCACCCGGTTATAGGTCTTAGTTATCCCTAGGTGTCCAGACCAAGGATGGTCATGAGCCAGACTTAAAACATGTGATCGAAATTTCGAAGGTACCACAATTTGATGCACCGCATTCCAATCGTCTCGCTGCTCAGAATTTAAAGATCTACTCCATTTACGCATGAGCACATCATCGTTCCAGTAGAACTGGTGATTACGCAGCGACTTTTTGTCATTTTCAACACTCGCACGACATTTTTCTAATGATAAATCATTTCGCTGAGCTTCGATCAGAATTTCACGCGAGATGGGCAAATCAGAGATCAAACTAAGATCAAAGCCATCAGATGCCTTTAAAGTCGTTTTAGTCGAGTCAGGAGAGTCGGGAAGAACATCAGTTTTCAAAATCTGTGAAAAGACAGAATCACAAAGAGTATTACTTTCGTGAATGTCCTGTTTCGCCTGTGCTCGCGTTACAACAGCACTAAACACATTCGGCAAATTTTTACCAAGTGCATCAGCCTGCGAATCATTGCATGGGACATCAACAACTTGTACTACCGGCATTACCTTACCTCCAGCTATGTCATTTCCCATGATAAAATCCACACCTTTCACCGGTAAAGAAGGACGAACTGCAACCTCAAAGCACCCAGATGCCAAATCAGAAAAAACATATACTCGATGGAGAGGAACCGGCACAAAACCCATTTCAATACCCTGCACAATCGCACTGGTATTACATGCCGAATCAGCACAAAAACCCAGAATATCTGATAATATAAAGGACTGAGATCCTCCTGTGTCACGGAGAATTCTTACAGGTTTTCGGCTTTCGACCTTCTCATTTAACGAAACAAATCCATCGAATACGAAAGGCTGAAAACAGCTGTCAGGTGTCACAAGAGAACTGACGGATGATGGGGACACAGTTTTCACTAATACTGAACCTCGAGGCTGGAAAGATGAAGAATCTTGTCGCTCTTGTTTGCGTTTTAAAGTACGACACTCAGCTATAACATGTCCCGTCTTGTGACAATAACTGCACTCTCGGTTAAACTTCGGACTGGTTGGAACCCATTTATTTCGTGAGTCGGAAAGATTTTCATTTTCCTTTAATGAGGAACCCCCACAGTCAGACGGACGCTTTGAAAACACAGTTTTATGCATTAATGCGTACTCGTCAGCTAACACGGCAGCCTGTTGTACAGTGCTGACTTTCTGTTCATTTAAATACAACGCAGTACGTTCGGGAACACAGTTCTTAAATTCTTCAATCAGCAAAAGTTCTCGCAAAGAATTATAGTCAGTTACCCTGCACGCCTTGATCCACCGATCAAATAAAATGCCCTTTTCGCGAGCGAACTCGACATACGTTTGAGACATGCCTTTGTTCGTAGTGCGAAATCGTTGTCGATAGTGCTCAGGAACTAATTCATACGCTCGTAATATTGCAGTTTTCACGGCATCGTACTGTACGCTTTCATCTACCGAGAGAGATGCACACACCTCTTGTGCCTTACCTGAGAGTTTACATTGTAACATTAGTGCCCAAACCTCGTTTGGCCATCTTAAGGCAACAGCAATTCGTTCAAAAGCTTGAAAATATGCCTCAACTTCCCTCTCACGGAAGGGTGGAACAATAGATATATTTTTAGCCACATCAAAATGTGTCGAAAACGGCGCTACAGACTCAGATCCCACATCAGACGGCACAGAATTAACACCCGAAGTGGATGGACCAGCAGATGTCTCAGAATTAACCTCCAACCGAGATGTTTTGACGATAGATTTTTTAGGTACCTCTGAAGCAGCCTGCAACTCCAACTCCCGCAATCGCACCTTCATATCAGCGTCAATTCGGTACATTTCAATCTGATGCTTCAAATCATCTTGTCTCGCCTGAGCTTTATCCTGAGTTTCTAACTGTAACCGTGCTAAACGTAGCTTTAAACGGGAATCTGTACGCAAACCTGATGATTCTGCGGACAGCGACAAAGGTTCAAATTTAGGTAGTGAAAAAGACGGACGTACCTCCGCACCAACCCCGATCACTGGAGTAACTGGAACACCACTCGTTACACGTAAGGGCGGACTTCCTGCAGCTGGTATCGCCAACTCCGCTGCTGCAGTAGGAACAGCCTCAATAGAAGAAAATACCCCTTTATTAATCAGACTAGTCACTAAACAAGCTTTCAACTCTTCCTTACGAAGTGTTCTAGAGATAGAAATCTCATAATGTTGAGCAATAAGAAACAAATCATTTTTTCGACATGTCTCTAAAGCTTCAACACTAGGTTGATCTAAAAATTGACTGAGCTCAAACGTTGCCATCTTTATAAAAAAAAAACGAAAAGAAAAACACGCAAAAGCAATCAGGATAATCCAACACCCTCTGGACCTACCTACCTAGCCATTAATCTAAATAATACCCTACCTAGTCTTCAGAGGGTACCGATTAAGAGATCGCTCTCTCCCCCGGAATACCTCCAAAAACAACAAACTAAAATAATAAAGCAAAACAATAAACAGTAAACCGTCGTCAGAACTGGCGCTAAGCACAGCCCTGCTGGCTTACTCTAACTAACCAGAGGATATTGGTCACCTGAATTAAATTAGATCAATCAAATTGCCACTACTCAAACACATATCTTGGACGAGCCCCCAATTATGTTACGAACCCTGTTGTTAAGAATGCTCGTTTTGTAAGGGTTCAATAACATAAAAGGAGACGCAAGGCAAAAAGCAGTTTAAGACATTTATTTATACTAATAAATAACTGCACAATCTCACGTCTCTCATGTTCTCACTCTTCCCACAGAAAACTCACATTTTCTCTACACTAGACATACCAAACACTAACAAAAATGAAACAGAACAGTGGCACAATACAAAGAACACAGGCTTGAGTTGAAGCTGATCCGATGTTTAGATGGTCATGACGCGCACGGAGTTTCACCGCTGCGTGTCTCACACTCCTGCACACACCGCTTATATGCTCAGCACGAGCCATCAGAGCAACGAACCACAGGTGCGCAAGGGAGGAGCCTACACTTAAGAAGAGACATTAATTAGATTACAAGACAAACATACACACACAAATACATAGGCAACACCCATAAGGCTGAGGCCGTAACAGCCACGTCACAACATTCAAACACAAGAACTTCCACCAGCTACACAACCACATGAGAACCACAGACAGAAACGTTTAGGAAGCCACACCAACACACAAGATTTTCCAGAAAGAGGGAAGTGTTGAGAGACAATTCTAAGATATTTACTCTTCCACCTTGAGGCTCCGACGAACCCTCTCCACTCAAACTACTGTCCTGATGCACAAGCCAGCGCTGAACCACATGAGCCTAGAAGACACCAACACCACAAAGACAGAGCATGTTAATACACACAGACGCACACATGGACACACATATGGGCAGGTGAAAACACCGAAACTGTGGAAGCAATGGTAACACAAACAGATCATGAAATGCTGCTCCGTTAAATGAATAATGTTAAACTTCAAGGATGACTATGGGCACCTGAAAATGTTTTCAATTTTCTTAAATCATTTGAATGCAACAAGAAATTGTGCTATAACAAGAAACCGGCTATTGACATTTGCAAAGGCCCAGGGAAAAGAGTGAGAATTACAAAACAATGCCATATTTTCATTTCAGTCATGAGAGGGTGAATGCAGAAACCCAGTCGCATTAAAGGGATTCCAGCTCTTGGCGCACTCCAAGACTGGTTGCTTAGCAATTGCTAGGAGAACGATGACATCATTTTAAACATTCTCAAAAGCATACGACTACGAGTGTGACAACTACTGATGCAGGGAACATGTTGACTCTAAGCATACAGCACTGTGCAGAAGTCTTAGGCACACTAGTATTTTCGCCTCAAAGAAATGCTTTTAAGCCAGTTATTTATATATTTTGTTGTAGGATGTTATTTATATATTTTTCAGTAGGAAATATCAGTTTACATTTCCAGACATTAATTGTACATTCCAGAATCCTTGTGCATTCAAAAATTTTACAGGATTAATGGCGCAATTAATGTCTGGAAATGTAAACTAATATTTCCTACTGAGACACTACAACAAAATATATAAATAACTGGCTTAAAACCATTTCTTTGAGGAAAATATACAGTATATATATTTAGGGCTGGGGCAATGATTAATCACGATTAATCGTATGCAAAATAAAAGTTTGCGTTTACATAATATATGTGTGTGTACTAGTGTATAATAATTTTGTATATATATAAATACACACACATGCATCTATATATTTAAGAAATTTTTGCATGTATATACTTGACATATATCTTTACATGATTTATATTAAATATAAATATTAATATTGTATATATTAGCAACGCATTTTTTCTTAAATGTATACATATGTGTGTGAATTTTTTTTATACAAAATAATTATACATTATGTACAATTATATATTATGTAAATACAAACTTTTATTTTGGATGCGATAAATGGCGATTAATTGTTACCCAGCCCTAATATATATCTTAAGCAACTAGACATCATTCAGTTGAGTTTAATTGTGCTTAATATGCAAATAAGCTGTGACATAGTGCTGCAACAACCAATGAGAGTGCAGTTATTTCACACCTCAGTCAGACACCGCTGCAGAGTATGAGCGGCTACTAAAAAAAGCTGGATGAAATACAATCATTTAAACAGGAATCCATGAGAATGGAAATTTTGCTTGAGAGAGGGTGAAAGATTTCACCATTCAGATTTCACAACATTGAGTTGACCAACATAAAGCTGATTCTGCATGAGGAATACTATATGCACATCGCTTCAATACTACCAAATAGACTAATGGTAGTTTGAATGAAGGTGTTAACCAGCCAGAGCTAACTTGGTTAGCTGTTTCAAACTCCTGAAACAAACACCAAATGAACTTTGTTTTGGCCTGATTTTGTTCGAAATGACGTTTGTATATTAAATCGGGAATTTAGATGACACACATCAGTGGAACTGATCATCATTTAGTTATGACAAAGCAATTAAGCACTAGGCCTAGCCTCAGAGGACGAAATCCAGACGACTCTATTGTGAAGGAGAGGCGAGCAAAACCCAGACACACATATAGAATTGAGTTCCTCTTGGCAACTGTCAGTGTAACGTCACATTTCCCATCTATGTGAAGTACAAGATCAGTCAATTAATTAATTTAGCATAATCCCTCATGTATCACGAGGGCAGATTTAGATTAACATGCAGTTCGGAAAGTTAAGTGATGACATCATCTGAATGTGTAATTATGAGGGATATATAACCAGTGAATAGAAAAGGGTCACGGTCACATTTTACGACCTGTCTGGCTTCTCACATGCACACCTTTACATTCTCACACACTCGCTAAAAATAGTGACAAAGACGTCATTTGGAGCTCGACACCAGTAGGCTGAGAATGATGAATCGCAGTAAAGAACCCTCCAGGGTTTGCTTTGAGACCCACTTCTACAGAAAGAGAAACCTACATAGTGGTGCTAGGGTAGCCATTTATAACACACACTCACACATGCAACTGTGACTTTCACGCGCAGTTGCACACTTAAATAAACACACAAAATGTTATATCTCAATACTTTTGGTTTGATTGAATGGTCAGGCAGTGCCAGTGCAACAGCCACTTTATACATGCAACGTCAGAAAGCAGAAATATAAAGCCTAGTAAAACAATCCTAGAAGGTCACAGCGTTCTGCAGATCTATAAATAAAGATCTATAATTACTGCACACTATTATTATCGGCTAACATGACTATGACAATGCTACAATCCATAACAGAGCACATTCAAATAAATAGTTGTAATTACAGTTTTACAATTTTAAAATTTTTAAAGCCGTTCATCTCTTAAAGGGGCAGTTCACCCACCAAAAATGTACCCACTTTCACTCCTCTGTGGGGCAGAAAAGGTGAAAAGTAAAATGAAATTAACTATAAAAAACTATAAAACCTATAAAAAAAATATTTTAAATATGAATTAATAGTATAAAAAACTATTCTGATTGCTCTTTTCAATATAATTGAAGTGGATTGGGGCCATCAAGCTCAGAAATAAATTAAAAAAAATTACATTTAAGTCTTCTGATAGTTTTGCGAGGTGAACAACTGAATTTTAAATTGTTATTAGTTGTTTAAAACTTTAAGAGTCTGTACCATAGATATTAGTTTTTGCTATGGAATCAAGAAATATTTCTTTTGGTATAGACTACTGACATTTTGGTACACTTACTTTGCATAATAGACTGTACACATTAACGGGGGCATGTTGCTTGTTCATCACAAAACAGCTTTTGGAAAACAAGGCCGTTTCTCTTTTCATACACAACAATTTCCCTGAAAACACTGGCAGCCGAACAGATCCAGTCGTGACCTAGAGAATGCAAAATCAATAAACAGACCAAAGACTACGCTTAAGTGGGAGTTGATCAAATATTGATAGACACTCAGTGTTCATAGTATTCTTGTTTTGTATGCTTGTATTATTTCTTGGAACATACTCTTGTGTAGCCTCAACATAAATGACTGCATCAAGAGCTGCTTTCATGTCTCTAAAACAAAACAATCATTTATGAATCACAATGACTCTTAAATGAAACAATTCAGCCATTGAAATCAAGACTGACATATCTCATACTCACATTTAAGATGTAAGAAAATGAAATCCTTTAAGAAGGAACTAATGATAACCATTTATCAGTATAAGCAACTTCCTGTTTCTTTACCCTGCTAAAATGGAACAACTGAAATATTCATGTGTATGTGAGGCTGCTGTGTCTGCAATCCATTAAAAACAAAACAGACTTTCTCTTAGATTTATCCTCCAACATAAATTACTAAAACACAGAGATAAAGACAAAAACCAACACAAAGAAACTTTGATCTCAAAGACACAGATCTCAGTTCCAGGTACTGACTCCAAGATGATCTGATGTCCATTTCTAAATTTGGCGACATCCAAAAACGCACATCCAAATGTCAAAAAGCTGACAGTCAGACCACAATGCTAAATTATTTCAATACAGTGTCAGTTATTCATGTTTTAATTAAAAAAAAAACATATTTGCTGTTTAGTGAAGTAATAATTGCTTTTTATTTATATATAAAACAACAGCAATATACTATTATAAAAATATTGTCTGTATCATTACTACCATTAATATTAATAATGACCATAATAACAATGTGTATAATAGCAATATAAATGTAAACGTTTATAATAATAACAATACTGCCTTATTGAACATTGGCGTCTTATATTTGTGTTGCAACTATTTATATACATTACATTAGTAAACATAGGAAATATTGGGGACTTAATTAAAGTAATGAATGACTGCATTAAAATAATGTATTTTTTAAATATAGCAATATAATAACCATTAGCTTGTTGATATTTGGATGCGTTAAATAATAATTATAATAGTAGGATTTTATGGATGCCAACCAAATCAGAATTGAGAGTTGTAAGTATCTGTTTAGTAACACAAAAAAAAAACATCAATTGTATCCTATCCCTCCATTCAACAAATCACTCCTTTTTATTTCTATCTTCTACTCTAAGTGCACTCCCTCTTCTGTTAAGCATCTCTATTTCATTCTCTCTTTCTCTATGTCCTCGTACAGGAGCTGCAGATCTTCTCAGTCACAACACATTGCAGCGCCCAGCGCTTCCTCTTCAATATTCATGAGGACTGCAGAAGGCCTGACTGCAAAGCACGCTGGGTAGAGCCCCTCAGAGTCTCCTAATTACATCACCCTTATTGTGCTGACATCCACCTCTGTTTTATCCCTGGATATTAGTCCTGGCTATGAACGTACATCTCATCACTCACACAAAATCCTTATGCACATAATCACACTATTAATGCCTAATTTCCCATGCAGCATTCTCATTATAATCTTGTCATCTCTTTGTGTGTGTGTGTGTGTGTGTGTTTTGCTTCACATGCACATTGACGCAGGAGAGAAAATGAGTGATTAAAAGAAAATGAGGGAGAAATGAAAATAGACTGAGTGAGAAGGACAGAAGGAGAGATGTATGTCTTAAGTGTCAGTGAATCGCGTGTAAGACGCCAGCACGTGGCCAGTGACTCCGCCTCCTTCTCCGGGACCAATCCCTTTCCAAGGGACCAGGAAATCAGCGACAGGGGGTGGCAGTCTGCAACACGCACACACACCTGCGCAAACTGAAGCAGACAATGAAAGCATACTAGACATACTATAATTGTATGCAGAATGGAGATAATATGGGTGATGCTTAGACTAGAGACCAGATTCCGGTTTATAGATGAACTACTATACAAATGGGTGGCATT